AGACACCTGTAACATGTCAGATATATAGTTGAAATGTATTCAATTTTGAGTTTGGATCCCAAAATTACACTTTATATGCATCAAAGAAGACTGAAATATAACACAATTGTTTGACATAGAAACACCGGATTTTAGTAGTTTTTTTTGTAAATAATCTTTATTAATTATGAAATTCTCAAAAATATTATAACATTCCACCCATGAGGCCAAAGATGGCACTTTGGTCATTGACTGCAGAAAAGGGCTACAAACTCACATAGTAAGTTGCATGGACTCACTCTGTGTGCAATAATAGTGTTTAACGTGATTTTTTAATGACTACCTCATCTCTGTACCCCACACATACAATTATCTGTAAGGTCCCTCAGTCGAGCAGTGACTTTCAAATTCAGATTCAACCACAAAGACCAGGGAGGTTTTCCAATGCCTTGCAAAGAAGGGCACCTTTTGGTAGATTACTAAAAATAAAAAAAAAGCAGATATTGAATATCCCTTTGAGCATGGTGAAGTTATTAGTTACACTTTGGATGGTGCATCAATACACCCAGTCACTACAACGATACAGGCATCCTTCCTAACTCAGTTGCCAGAGAGGAAGAAACCACTCAGGGATTTCACCATGAGGCCAATGGTGACTTTAAAACAGTTAAAGAGTTAAATGGCTGTGATAGCAGAAAACTGAGGATGTATCAACAACATTGTAGTTACTCTACAATACTAACCTAATTGGCAGAGTGAAAAGAAGGAAGCCTGTACAGAATACAAATATTCCAAAACATTCATCCTGTTTGCAATAAGGCACTAAAGTAAAACTGCTAAAAATGTGGCAAAGAAATTAACTTTATGTCCTGAATACAAAGTGTGACGTTTGGGGCAAATCCAACACAACACATCACTGAGTACCACTCTTCATATTTTCAAGCATTGGGGTTGCTGCATCATGTTATGGGTATGCTTGTCATTGGCAAGGACTAGGGAGATTTTTAGGATAAAAAGAAACGGAAAAGAGCAAAGCACAGGCAAAATCCTAGACGAAAACCTTGTTCAGTCTGCTTTCCTACAGACACTGGGAGACAAATAGCCAGATATACACTGGAGTTGCTTACCAAGACGACATGGAATGTTCCTGAGTGGCCTAGCTACTGTTTAATATAAATCGGCTTGAAAATCTATGGCAAGATTTGAAAATAATTTTTAAAATAGTAATGTTCAAATATTGTACAATCCAGGTGTGCAAAGCACTTAGAGACTTACCCAGAAAGACTCACAGCTGTAATCACTGCCAAAGGTGATTCTAACATGTATTGACTCAAGGGTGTGAATACTTGTTTAAATGAGATATTTATGTATTTAATTTTTAATAAATTTGCTAACATTTCTAAAAATATGTTTTCACTTTGTCATTGTGAGGTATTGTGTCTAGATGGGTGAGAAAAACGATATATTTAATCAATTTTGAATTCAGGCTGTAACACAACACAATGTGGAATAAGTCAAGGGGTATGAATACTTTCGGAAGGAACTTTTTCTGAAAGCTTGTTTTGCTTATCAATACTAAAAGAGCAGAGAGTAGCCTACAGTTTACAGTTTTTATGTAAAATAACTCAGAACAAAAATAAGATCTATCCATTCAAGCAAATTCTATATCCACATAATGTTACAGATCTATAGGGATTATTGTGTTAGTAGAGCCTCTATTTTTCACATGGCACAAGACTGTGAAAGGTACTTTGATGCATACTGTATTTCACGGGCAACCAGTGTTTTGGCAACTTCCACATTGGGATATAAAGCCTGTAATTCGAATATAACAGTTCTCCCACTCTGGAATTGGATGGCTGTTTGAGGCTTGAGAATAATAAATATGCAAATAAATAGAAAATAGCCACAACTGTTACGGTGTGTTGTATTCCAGAAATATGGCTATATGGTATAATAGTTTTTTGATGTATGGTTATTTTTAATTTTCAGAACATCTCAGGTGAGATATGAGGAATACAAAACATGTCTATGCAAGCATAACTTGTGGACAAATATGTCGATAATGAAAAAACATAATGACAAAACAATAACTACCTGTAGGCCTAATACAAACAAGAAATGAAACAAATTACCTCCAAACTGAATAAAACACTGAAAAGCAAAATAACTGCATATCACAGAGCAAGATCGTCTGCCACAATGAGAAAATTATGCTGCAATTTAACAATAGGCAAAATGTTTGACATAAATGTAGTTGGGTCAATGTCAATAACCGAGGCAAGCAGCAAAAGGACGCTAGGTGTCACCCTTGTGACTTTAAAACCGGTTTGCACTCGATATGGTCTGGGTTATCTGCAACCATGTTTTCCAGAGGGGAGGAGTGAGCTGGGGAGTGAGAAGGCTGCAAAACACACGAGGGATAAATAAGCCTTACAACAGACATGCTAGGCCTACTTGTTGCCCCACAAAAAATATATAGGCTGCATGACCGATTCAAGTAAATAGCCAACCTTTTTGTCAACGGATAACACGCAGTCTATGGTATTCAAAAAAAAGTGTCATTTTACGAATAAGACCTGGGCAATTTTTATAGACATGATGCAAATTCAACAAAGATGTGTGTGCTTTCTGTACCTTTAGTACAACTATCAAATATTGCACTCAGGTAGTAGGCTAGCCTTCATTTCCACTGAATGACGTGGGAAGTTATTTTGCTGTTTGCACCCAAAAGCAGATCGAATTAGCCTAGTCTACAGGTAATTTACAGTAGCCTTATCAGAGATAAACTGGCATTAAACATACAAAGTGTTCCTTTCAACAGACCAAAGGACTGCAGTATCATAAACAATTATCGCAAATTAGAGCATGGCATGTTGCTACATCAAAGCAATCATATTGCCTAATTATACATTTTAGTGACCATGTCGTTTTCTTCACAACTAAGGAATGCAATGTGTGTGTGTGTGCGCGCGAGCCGCGCGTGACTGAATGAGTGCGTGAGAGAGGGAGAGTTTTCAGCCTGCAACTATAAGCACATTTGTTTCATTGTCCGGCAATACGGACACGATGTGCCACAAATAACATGCAACATAACACTTGTCCTCATTATATTGGTAACAAATTGTCCTCGTTTTACATTTCAAACTACACATACTTGTTTCTCAAGAAAGGTTGGTGTTACATTTCGCGCATCTATAGCAGTCTGAAGCCGCCAAAAGGAACCGCTTTACAGCGTTTCATAATCAAATCTACTCACTGTAACAAAATAGCCTACAATAAGCTATAGGCTACGTCCATTCTGTAAATAAAACATATATAATCGGGATGTCATCAGCAATCACGTGTGGATCAAGTATTATTTAGATACATAAAGCCATAGCATCATTGAAGGATTGGACTCAGATCGCAATAGAAAATGCAGCTGCATTTTGGGCAAAGCCTGAATACCACCGATATTTCGAAAGAAAGCATGTAAAGACTCCGATTGCATTGTAATGACAAGAAACACAAAGAGAACGTGAAATATTAAATAGAGTTAACATGCCAAGAGGTCTAACCATTAGGCTAATATATATATATATATATATATATATATATATATATATATATATATATATATATACATATGTTATTTAATTAGAACTTAGATCCTGTTCAATCTCTTTAACTACATAATAAACATCGAGGGATAAATAAACAAATGTAGCCTATTTATAGCCACACTACTTAACCCATTCCAACCTACAGCTGTACATGTGTGCAGGTAGTTGGCCGAGTTTTCCTTGCTGTAGTTGCCCCACCCACCAGCAAATCCAAACCTCCTGTGTAACCTCTGATTGGTTGAGGGGATTGCGGGTCCTGAGACTGAGCGCTCGGCGCTGAGCTGTGCATTGGGGCAGTGTGTACTATTGATGCGAGCGGAGCCCGGAGCGCGTATTGGAGTGAACTAGCAGCCTACTGACAACGAGTGGTGCTTTTTGCCTCATTCAGGCTGGATATTTTCATGCATTTTCCTCTGCTGCAAGCTTGAAACGAACTGCTTCTTATTGTGACTGTATAACATCCTTTTATCTCTATATCTTTTTACACTGGATTTGATATGGACCATATCTCGCCGCGGGATGTGTTCGGTGTATCCATGTGTGAGATCTGAGGAAATGAATTAGTAAAATAAGCTACAAGACTTTGAGAGAGAGTGAAACCTCTAACTGCTCGCCGGGAAATAAAAAGGTAACTGTGGTCTTCACTGATAGCGTTATAAGACTAGTTCCGGCAACAGCATCATTGGTCTACATTCGATAACTGGACTTTGGCTATTCGGGGATTTTTTCAATACGGATTCCTTTTTACGTTTCAATCGGATATGTGGTGTGATATAATTGCCCAGTGAAGAGGAAAAGTCATTACAACTTGAAAAAATCGTTCATATGAATGGATGGAACATATGCGTAAAATCCAGTTTGTCTAAAATGCGCCTTGTGGTTTTGGTATCGGAATCATGATGCTGGGAAGAATTGAACTGGAAAATGTTTAGCCAGTTATTTAATCTTCATTGAACGTTATCCTTTGGTATACCTGTTAATCGGAATTTTCCTCTCTTTTGATTTTTAAATTATTATTTTTGCATGGTTTTCCACCCTGCATCGAAATGGTTGGTTTATCGTGTCAATCGCTATAGTTGTAGCTTGATATGAACTGCTCAGATTTACATGGGTAAGTCAGTGTTCTGAGACCATTCAGAATGTTTTCCAAGCTCTATCCTCCCCAAAATCTCACACCTTTCAGCAGATTGGAGAATTTGGTTTTTCTCAGAAGAGTACAATGAAGTAGACAATATCGATATAATCAAGTAACATTTATATCATATACAAGCCTTTTCTTTTATCAAAACGTATTCCCTGGATAACTTTTAGATGAGATGAGATAACTGGATGATTTTGTCCATTATCTCTGACATGCATAGGTGTGCGTGATCATACAAGGTCCCAATTAAATATAAGGAAAAATCAACAGGTACAATGTATGCCAAGGAGATGGATTTTATACCAATTATTTGGATAGTCATTTTATGCTGGACTGGGGCTGATTCTGTTATTAATTTGAAATACTCGATAAACGAAGAGCAGAAGGCTGGGTATATCATTGGAAACGTGACAAAGGACGCACAAACGCAAGGATTTGCCATTGCACCGCGGGCGCCGTACTTGCGGGTCATCTCGAATTCAGAGCCGCGATGGGTGGAACTCAGCCCGGCTGGACTTCTCCTCACACATCAGAAAATAGACCGGGACGTGGCTTGCCGACAGACGGCAAAGTGCACTGTCTCTTTGGAGGTGATGTCAAACTATATGGAGATATGTGTAATTAAAGTAGAAATTGTGGATTTGAACGATAATGCGCCCAGATTCCCCACAAACCACATTGACATTGAAATCTCAGAGAATGCCTCCCCTGGTACCAGGTTCCCCCTAGAGGGGGCAAGCGATCCGGACTCGGGGATCTTCAGTGTGCAATCATATTCGATCACCCCGAATGAGCTCTTCGGGCTGGAGATTAAGACTAGGGGGGACGGGTCCAAGATTGCCGAGCTCGTAGTGCAAAAATCTTTAGATAGGGAGACCCAGTCTCACTATTCATACGAAATCAGTGCAGAAGACGGTGGAGACCCCCCAAAGATTGGCGCAGTCCAGCTCAATATTAAAGTAATAGATTCGAATGATAATAATCCAGTTTTTGACCAGCCTGTGTATACAGTGAACGTGATGGAGAATTCTCCTATTAATACACTTGTAATTGACTTGAATGCAACAGATCCTGATGAGGGAACTAATGGTGAGGTTGTGTACTCGTTTAACAGTTACGTCACCGATAAAACGAGAGAGGTATTCAAAATTGACCCTAGAACCGGTATTATCACTGTTAATGGCCCTTTGGATTATGAAACAACCCATATTTACGAGATTGATGTCCAAGCCAAAGATTTAGGTCCCAATTCTATTCCGGCTCATTGTAAAGTCACTGTAAATGTGATGGATGCGAATGATAACCCACCTGTCATTAGTTTATTGTCTGTGAACACAGAGCTGATTGAAGTTAGTGAGAACGCGCTTCGTGGATATGTTATTGCATTAGTGAGAGTCTCAGATAAGGACGCGGGCGCAAATGGTAAGGTGCAGTGTAGACTACAAGGCAACGTTCCTTTCAGACTCCAGGAATACGAGAGCTTCTCAACCATCCTTGTTGATGGTAGGCTAGACAGAGAGCAGAGGGACACCTACAATCTAACTATCCAAGCAGAGGACAGTGGCACCCCCCCTTTACGCGCCACTAAATCGTTTGTAGTGAAAGTCACAGATGAAAATGACAACCCTCCCCACTTCCTAAAACCCCATTACCAAGAGATGGTCCTAGAAAACAACCTGCCAGGCTCATGTTTGCTGGCTGTGTCAGCTGTAGATCCCGATTTGGGCATGAATGGCACAGTTTCATACACCATCGTGCCCAGTGAGATTAAACACATGGACGTAAACACATATGTCAGCATAAATCCTTCAGGGCGTATTTATTCCATGAGATCATTCGACCACGAGTACACTAGGACTTTTGACTTCAAAGTTTTGGCTAGGGACCAGGGGAATCCGTCCTTATCCAGTAATGCGACGGTGCGCATTGTCGTTTTGGATGTGAATGACAATACACCTGTTATGACCACTCCACCCCTGGTAAATGGCACCGCGGAGGTATCCATTCCACGAAACGCAGGAGTGGGTTACCTGGTGACCCAAGTCAAGGCCGACGACTACGACGAGGGGGAGAATGGAAGGCTGACCTATACCATCTCGGAGGGAGACAGGCTTTTCTTTGAGATCGACCAAGTGAATGGAGAGGTGCGGTCCACCAAGATGTTCGGGGAGCAAGTCAAGTCGACCTACGAGATCACCGTGGTGGCACGCGACCATGGGAAACCGTCGTTGTCGGCCTCGGCATATATTGTTGTCTACCTCTCACCAGACCTGAACGCCCAGGAGTCTATTGGACCCGTAAACCTGTCGTTGATCTTCATCATTGCCCTGGGCTCTATTGCTGCTATCCTGTTTGTCACTATGATTTTTGTGGCAGTCAAGTGCAAAAGGGATAACAAGGAGATCCGAACGTACAACTGCAGGTACTGAAAACAGCTCTTCATAACCATCTCATTAGTTTGGTGTTTCAGTCAGTCATGGTTATAGGCCTAATATTTCTTTTATTCCTCCATATAGGCCTACATCTATGCATTTTGGTACCCATTCAGTGGTGCGCATAATTGTGGTGTGTGTGTGTGTGTGTGTGTGTGTGTGTGTGTGTGTGTGTGTGTGTGTGTGAGAGAGAGAGAGTTGTTCAGGCTGGTCTTGAGTGCACGTAGCTGTATTTCTAGTGCATGTTCAGGGCCCCGAATGTTAGGCGTTACTAAGGAATGCAGGTGCCCAGAAATGATAAGCAAAAATGGCTTATGGACTCCTAGAGTGTCCTTGCCTTATTTATTTTTGCAAACCCTCACCATTACCTAGGACTAATAATCTTGGCTAGATGAGGACAATTAGCTGAATTTTACAGCTATTGAATTTATGGTGGATGTTATTCCCAAAGGTTCAAATGGATGTTCTAAAGGAGACAGCATACCCTACCATTCTGCGAGAACTATGACATAGTAATGATGATAATGATAATTATTATGTTAATTATCTAAATAATATTACTACTGTTGCTAATCATAATGATGAAAGCAAAAATGATAGCCTAATAATAATAATAATACAATTAATGCTAGAGGGACTAATACTACTAAAACGAATAAGTCATACATCTTTGAACCCACTATGCCTCTACTCTATGTATGACAATGCCTCAGAAGGGGACAGGCATTATTATTTGGCACATTATTATCTTGATCCATCATAATAAAAATATGCTTTTCTTCATCAATCTGTAAAGCATCAGCTCCCCCTTTGATTTCCTTGTGCTAGATTACCACCTACCACTGTGGTACATTACCACTTAAAATGTCCATATAGATTGCATTTGTGAATTTAACCTGAAGCTATTATCATATTTCATATTTTACACTGAACATAATTTTAGTTGTGCTGCTACGTCAGGCCGATTCAAACGTGTGGCAATTGGCTGACCCTGTATGGTTCTTCCATATAAGTAGGGCAAATGCACATCTCAGAGTAAGCTCTAGTGGATGAAGGTCTATTGATGAAAACGTTGGGTTGAGATCCATTAAACATACTGTGAAACAGGGGTTCCCAACCCAGGGGGCGTGCCTCCCATACGTGGCGCCAATGTTTCATGGGGGGCTCGGGACCTTCCTTGACCTTCCTTGATCTAAAACTACGCATAAATCCGCAATGCTTTAGGCTAGAAACAAGCTGTAAAATGCCAGAGGAAGATGGGACTCTGATGCACATGGGAGTATTGGCTTGTCTCTATGACATTCAGAAGCTGAGCTACGACTTTCTAAAGTCCAGGAGTCAAAGAAATTGGACTTTGCTTGAGAAGTAATCTTATACAATGTGTGACTCTGTCACTATCAATTGATCAATTCACTTTCTGTCAAAGAGAATATGTAAAATTAAGTTGAGGGTTCATAGAATTTATAATTTTAAAACATATCTGTTATCAGAATAACATTTGGGTAAATCGGTTCTATGCTTATTTTTTCCTTATCTATTATTATTATCATTAAATAGCCTACCTAAAATATTTTACATTTTACATTTTAGTCATTTTAGCAGACGCTCTTATCCAGAGCGACTTACAGTTAGTGCATAAAATATGTAATGAGTCATGTTAAACTACGTAGAATTGCAGGAAATGAGCTTCAAAACAACATTTTCCTTGGTTCCTCAAATTAAACAAAATCAAATTGGTGTTATATTTAATATAGGCTATCTCAATAAACAATACTTATTGAGGGGACCCTTGGGGAAAAAAAGGTTGAACCCCTGCTGTGAAGCATAGCCTACAAGAATGCCATTGTGTTGCAGTTTCTTTTCAAATATTGAGTTTCTTCTACTCTGTGCGCGTAGAACTACATAAGGTATGCCGACAACTTTCTTTTTCAAAGTATGGACTTTCTCAGGCACACATGATCATGGATAATGGTTCATATTGGTCACTGTTGATTTGAAAGCTAAAGCAGTCATGGATTGGCAATATCAAGTGATGGTTGGTGAGATATCCACATCATGTTTCCCCTATCCTTATTCTTTAGAGATGTAGATTTGATGAGGTTTTCACATAGTGGGAGAGCAGTTTTACGTTCAATATTGTACAGTATGCATAGCACCTCTAGGGCCTCACTTGTTATGTCACATGGCTTCTAGCTTCAAAGTGACATTGTTGTTATCACAAACAGCACACAGACCGTAATTAATGACATAGGAATAAAAACATCTGTTTGTTTTCTGAAAACCAAATGCTCTTAGAGAGTGAGACAAAGGACTCTGGACATAAATTATGTTATTAAGCCAATTTTAAGGGAATTTAGGGCATTTTATATTATTTGTTTTTCAAAGATGTCTGTCATTGTCACATTGATAAACATAAGCCTACCACATTTACCAGCATGCTCTTTCATTTGGATGTGACCCACAATGCTCAATTTCTCTAATAAAATACACAAGAAAACAACCAACCAATCAAACAAACAACTAGGCTAAATCAAATAATATCTGCCCAACACTACCTAACCACCTAACCTTCCCTTTTAAAAATCCTGTCTTGTAGCATAAAAATCCTCTTCCTGCCGGGTACTTTAATCTATATTGATGTGCAGTGCTCCTGAGTAGCTAGCTACCACCTCAAACCTAAGCAGTGCTTATCTGCAATTTATTGCTCGTTCTCTTTGAGTCGGGAGGATTTCTCCTGTCAATTTTTCGATTTTGGGCCCAGAAGTACTAGAGAGAACAATGACAGAACGATGCCCTCTCTTTTTTGACCCTCACAGTCTCTTCTCTCCCGTACTCAGACGAGAGAGCACGCAAGAGAGAGAGAGAGAGAGAGAAATAACAGTTTTGAGATGCCCTGAAAAAAATAGAGTCCAAGGCTGCAAGTGGCATTTTATTTTCCAGAATGAAGGCAGGGAGGAACAGACCCGGAGAGCATCTGAAAGTCCCGTGTAGAGTTGGTAGAGCATGGCGCTTGCAACGCCAGGGTTGTAGGTTCGATTCCCACGGGGGGCCAGTATGAAAAATGAATGCACTCACTAACTGTAAGTCGCTCTGGATAAGAGCGACTGCTAAATGACTAGTACATTTTTTTTTTTTTAAATGAAAAGGAGAACCCATCCAGTAAACACTAAGGATGGGGGAGTCCTACATGGGCATTTCAACATATGCAGCCAGGGCCTCAAGTTTTATTAGATGCAGTATAGAATCATGAGTAAATAACACACTCCATCCAACCAGGGCTAAAAATAGACTCTTGGAGAGTGGGAGTCCATGCAAATGTTCGACATGTTCAAAACTCAGAGGAATTCAAGGGTTTCTGCTTAAAACAGAATGTCCCCTCGTAAGAATTTGCAAGTTGGATGGAGAATGGAAATTGTCTTCCTCCAGCCCGAGCATCAGCAGCGTCCTTTCGATAAAGAATCTCCGGCTTTCTCATTTAGGCTGATTAGAATCAAAATGCTCTGCTCAAGTCAGGGGACAGCCACAGACACTAGGTTCTAAATGAATTTGAATTGACAGTTCTCCTACACTCCATATTGCCAGTGGGCCTCGCTTGGTAATGAAAGAAAAAAGGGAATTAATGTTAGCAGTGGGGCTGTGCTTTAAATATGATTGCAAAATCCGGTTGGTGATCTTCAGTATTGTCTGTTGTCTTGTTGTTGCCGTGTTTGTGTGCTTTTGTGGTTTGGCATGTTTGCATTGTGTGTGCTTGTTGTTTGTGGGACATGTTGACTGTGCCGAGCATGCAAAAGTAAACAAATGAGGGATGACGGCTCCATTGGTGGCATGGGGAAGGCGGTCAGGCTTGGGTCCGGAGGAGGGGGTCACTTGAGCGTGGCTCCTCTCTCTCTACCCTGGATGCCAACCAATGAGCTGGCCCCCACCACTGGACACGGCGTGTGCATGTGGGCGGGTATGACAGAGCACTGCTTTATTGAGTCTGTTCAGTTTCTTCTACTTGCGCAGGGTGGCGGAGTACTCGTACGGCAGCCAGAAGAAGTCGAGCAAGAAGAAGAAGCTGAGCAAGAATGACATCCGCCTCGTGCCGCGCGACGTGGAGGAGACGGACAAGATGAACGTGGTGAGTTGCTCATCTCTCACCTCCTCCCTCAACTACTTCGACTACCACCAGCAGAGCCTGCCGCTGGGCTGCAGGCGCTCCGAGAGCACCTTCATCAACGTGGACAACCAGAACTCACGCAATGCCGCGCCCAACCATGGCAGTTATCAGCAGCACTCCTTCGCCAGCGGGCAGGGCCCCCAGCAGCCTGACCTCATCATCAACGGCATGCCGCTGCCAGAGGTGAGACCACACTTAGTTCGCTCTGATCTGATCTGTCCCTGCAGCTTGTTGCTGCTGTGCCAATCTGTGCCAATGCCCTAGGGAAGAGGGGGGGTGTACGGGGTTGGGTGTATGGGACAGGGGAGAGTGATGGTTAAGTCCAGTCAACTTTTACTTAGTCTCACTACTCATTGTCATGACTGCGTTGTGCTTCAGCTTCCAGTGGGAGTATAGTCATTTTGGGGTATAACATAGTAGTTGTAGGGAGTACAGTCGCTGTGGGTTCACCTGGTGTACGTGAATGAATGGTCACGTGACCAGGTATGTTCTCTCAACAGATTGAACCGCACCCTCGGGGCCGGTTACAAGGTCATATGTTCTAGAAATGTACCAGATCATACTTCTTTACCCTCAGTGTAACAATACATTTCCTACTCGTTTGAAATAGAATCTGATCAGCCATGTGTGGTCTTGTGTGTTAGTAGCTACATTTGAGATAAATAAATCAAGGCATTTCAGAGGTTTACCCAGGTACATGGACTGACCTGTGGATAAGAGCGAGCTGTGCCAAGCGTGAATTTGGAGGCCTGACAAAATGAATTATTTGGCTTCCACCTACCTGCCTTGTTTTTTGTGAGTTGAGCTATTGCAAAAGAACAGGAGTTTGAACACCTGCCAGATGCATTGACCCGGCTAATCAGCTCCACCCCATGTGGTAGCAGAAAGAATAATCATTGCTTAAATGCTCCATGTGCAAACAGTGCGAACGGCCCAATAGGCTCCAGTGTTAGTCATGCGGTCAAGGCCAAGGCTGCAGCTTTGCACCCCACGCAGCCAGCTATTATAGAGCTATAGTCAACTCACCATGCATAGGGTTGATTGTATTGACGTAGCGATGTATGGCTGAAGACAGCAAAGGCCTCGCTCGAGTGGGCTATTTAAGCTGACAAGAGTGTACACCGTCTAGCTGATCTTTAAAGTATAGATTTTTGCCTCTATGACCTAGTCTATAGGATTCCTTGGACAACCTCTCTAGCTTGACCTACTTCTATGGCCATCAGCAGGGTAGGGGGTTTTCACAATCCTGTTCAGTCCCAAATAAAGCAACCCCCACCCATCACATATTTGATGACTCCGATCCCTGTTTGACATTCAGCGAGAAGAAGAAGGGTGGAAAAGCCTAAAAACAAAACCAGAAACATTAGAACGGTTATTGAGCCATTGATTGGCTGATCCAGTTAGGATCTGAGCTCCTATCGGATCCCGCGGGGTCAATGAGGCCCCACTTACAGCCACGCTGATTTACTGCAGATTGTCTGGGACTGATGGAGCCAGAAAGAAGAGGAGTGAGAGGGCGAGAAAGAAAGAAAGAAAGAAAGAAAGAAAGAAAGAAAGAAAGAAAGAAAGAAAGAAAGAAAGAAAGAAAGAAAGAAAGAAAGAAAGAAAGAAAAAGGGTGGAGATCTGTCCCATGGTCCTGTAAAGTCAAGTGTTGGTAGGGGGGAACGAGTGCATTCCGCCATGTACCCGCAGGTAGCATTCCGGTCACAGACCTCTCCATGAGCAAAACACAGGAAGAAACTTCAGTCCGGCAGGCACAAAGAAATGACTGTGTGGTTGTAAAACCCAGGCGCAGTAGTCTGTCTTGGCGGCTTAAGCATACAATAAAAAAAAACATTTGCTGCGGGATTAAGGAGGCCTTTATTTGTTTCTTTTAATGAAAAAGAGGAGAGCGGGAGACAAATAGGGTCTCAGATTCTGATTATCTAATATGCAAACCTTGGAGGTGTCTGATAGGGATGAGTTAGGGGATGGAGGAAAGGAGGGAGGGAGAGTGTCTTAATGCCAGGTGTCTGGGCTCCACTGCGTTTGTATATTTTTTAGCATTTGTGATTGGCTTGATAAAGGCAGAGACTCTGCTTAACATGCAAGCTCTGTCGCAGCTCTGCGTTCCACATGACGTTGACAAACATCCCTTTGACCGGCCCTGTGCATATTTCCTGTTGAGCGACGGAGAGAGGAGGTGCTGATGGCTAGTCGATGGGAGCGAGGGAAAGGAAGAAAGAGAGAGAGAGAGAGAGAGAGAGAGATTGCATTCTCCTCCTCAACCAGGCTGCAGCTAGGACCAAGTATTTATTCTCCATTCTGACATTTAGAAAAGACAGTAGCTCCGTATCCACATATTGCTGTTAAATTACAAAAATTGTTGTCAAGTGCAATTACATAGCCATTAATGTAGAGCGCAAACAAACAGTGCATCTGTGAAATGACCAATAATAGCTCTGTCACGGTGAGCAAACCCACTTCACTCCACAAGTCCACATTTTCCCAAGGTCTAGCTAGCACACAGGGGCACTTTTGTGATTAGTGAGTTTTTGCTTTATCCCCAAAAACATTTGTCTTCACCCTGGCCCGCTCTTGTAATCATCTGTGTCAACCACCGTTTTACAGTTTTACAATAGGGCATTCATATTTGTTTAATTCCAACTTATTGAATGAACTCTAGGCCGAGCCTCGTTGAATAATGGCATTAGGATTTGAATAAGAGAATAAAAAATAAGAAGATTTGAAAACAGGACAGTGAAAGACTTCATATATAATAATGAGGATTTGATTTTAGGAGATTCATTATTGTTATAGGATTTGTGTTATTGGTGTATATGGGTCTCATCCGCACCCAGTATATGTATCAGGTCTGCTACAGGGGTTTTATTATCCTACTTCAGAGAGAGAGATTTTTAATAGTACTTTATTTCAAGCTACAGAATTACCAGTACTAAGAAAGTACATGGTAAAATGGTAGTTACACAGGAATAACCTATGTATTACCAGCTGAGAGATGTTTGGTTGACCTGCCTATGGTTGTGGTTGCAGATTAAAAGGCTACATGTCGCTGGCTTAATTTCTTCTTCTTCCATGGCTTCTTCCATGGCTTAATTATACCAGATTAGTTGGTGGGGTAGACAATTAGACAGTAAAGGAATGGCCTTTGGCTATAACATGTTGTTGAATGGGTAATGTGTACTACTGTGGCTTTATTTTACCTCCACTTGTGATTCCAGATAATGAATATAGCAGTAAAAAAATTAATTATCTCTGGTATTGATTCAGTTTACACTCATCCTTATGCGGGAAAGAGATTGCATATTTTTTATTTTATTGTGTTTCATTATGGTGTTCAATGAAATAGAAAAAAGGGAGGCATGGTTTTAAAGTGTTAGACTTTCCGTGGAGAAACTGTAAGGAGACCTTTATTCTCGACTTCTATCGACTGCTAATTTAGGTAAATTCGCTTCCAGATGCTCCCATTCTGTTACCTGAAAGATGGCTACATAACAAGCTATTGTAAGCATATGGAACATGTCGTACAGTTCAATTTCAGGCTTTTTGCAGCGTGACGAGAGTAGGCACTTGGAGCTTTTGGCAAAATAAAAGGTATTTCTGTTACGGTGTCTTGAATTTGTTCCTCTTACAGTCAACAACAGAACTCCATGCTGTAAACAAAACCAAGGTAGCTAGCTACAGCAATATGATAATCACTAACTGTTTTCTGAGTTAGTTTGGAATAGCCTACATTTTAATATTGCTACAAGAGAGGCGATGGGGAGTGGTACTGGGTTCCATATTCCACATGCCTCCACATCATCCCGCCTCCCATGCAATCACTTCACATCAGGACAATATGCACAGAACACGTTCAAACGTGCCATATTGCGCATGCAAAGTAGATGTCATGCTGTCAACACATACTACACATCTGCTGTGCCTGCCAATCACCTTCCATTTTCCATCTCCCCCCTCTTCCTCACTTCTAATGTGTTGTCATCATGCCTCCCTGAAACATATAGGCTGTGTCCCAAATGGCACCCCATTCCCTATACAGTGCACTACTTTCGACCAGAGGCCTATGTGCCCTGGTCAGAAGTAGTGAACTATAAAGGAATTAGGGTGCCATTTGGGACACAAACAAAGAGCTTTGCCATAAAAAAAGATAATTACATTACCGATGAGAACAATAGAGGAATCAAGAAAAAGGACGCAATTCCAAGCACATTGCCGTGTCTCTGGTCATTAAGGCTTGGATGCTGGATCATAAGCTACTTAGTCAGTGTGCTAATTTCAGTTTGCAGTCTTTATCATCATCTTGAGCTATTGCTAATCAGATTGCGCCTGACCTATTGCCTCTTACTAGAGTGGTGGGTCTGGTTTGAGTGGCACAACACAAACTCAAGCTGCTCTACGTTTAGTCTTTGATCTTGTAATGTTTCCATTGTAATATGACGATCCAAGCCCCCCGTTTCCCTCCCTCCATCTCACTTTACTTTTTCTGAGTAGAATGTCTGTCTTCTCTAATCTGGTTGCCTTCCTCTTTAAGCCACTGACTAATACATGTGACAACACATATGGCGGGCTAATATGTTACGAGTTACAGTATTTTGCATTTTCTACGACTCCCTTCGAGGCAACAGACTAGGGCTTTTGTATTTCTCTAAATTTCATCAGCCTAATCCAATTAATCATCGCTAAATCCATACGATAAAGTAAAGGTCAAAGCATGCTGTCTCGTTGAGGGGCTTTGTGCTGAGAAGAAAACTCAGTCAGGCTCCAGGAAAAAGCTCTGATGAGGGAGTACCATTTAAACAATTTCAAAAGGAGCTTTTCGAAGCTCAGGAAGGAGAAAATAGAATAATCAGGTGGTGAAAAAGTGAAACAAAGATTTTACAGAGTGGCAACTGACGGATCCTTGGCTGCTTCAACTTGAAATGCTAGTGTGTGTGTGTGTTTTATCTGTTGAAGGAGTTGGGGGCGAACCTTGCATACTTTAATGTCTCCTCTTCAGTGGGATGCGAGAGAGTGAAGCATCTTATCTGAAGCCCCTGATTGAGTAACTGGCAGATGAGCACAGGAATTATAGCGAGAAAGGTTTGATTTGTGAGTGAGCCATGGATTTGGGAACGCTCTAGCAAAACCATCAGTCAGTCTGACAGTCAGTCAGTTAGTGAAACAAACAAATATTTCAACATTTATGCACAGTCATGTATACATGTCAGGCAATAGTCATGTTGGGCCATTTCATTTTCGGTGAAATTATGCTGTGAATAAC